CTGCTGCTTGTGCATGGCCGCTGATTAGACCTTGTGCAATCTACAACTAAACGCGGCCTGGTGCGCGCCGCTCCGCCAGGTGAGCTGAATTAGAGCAATCAAGGGCTGGCGTGCCTAGTAGACCTTAAAATGCATGCAGCAGTCATTTGACCCGAGTGCGACATACTGAGAGGACAGCAAACAAGCACAATCCACTTTCCACTGTGAGGAAGACTTTGAGCTAGACGGGCTATCTGTAAGCTCTTGGACTCATATTTGCTGCTTATATGGTTGGGAACTATGGAAGCTCAATTGTGGAAATTTATTTATGCTTTGGGAAATAGTTACTGCATTTAAGTTTATAAAATTATATTGATATTAAAATGAATGTTTAAGTTTGAATAAATTGTTTATGCAGATAGTGTTTCCCACATTTATGTTAATTAATACCAAAAATAGTTGCCCCAAATCCTTGGTTAAATCTTAGAACTAGTGTAAATATGTTTGGGTTAATTTAAGGAAAATAATTCTTTGTAAAAGAAAATCCTTGGTTAAAGTTTCTATTAAATTTTGCAAACTCTAAAATGTATACTTTGAAATTTTAATTGTTTATAAAAAGGGTAAAATGCAAGGTAGACACATTTTGTGTATTTAAGAACCACAGTTTATTTCATCTTCGTTGTTTGAAATTACTCAGCTCTGTGATTAAAAACCAATGAATGTAAAACTAAAACTGGGTTAAATGATAGTCTAGACAAAAGTATTCAGCTTTAGCTATGTTAAATGGCTTTACTAAAGTATATATATTTTTGTTATTTCATTTGTATTCTGTATAATGCATTTAATTTGCCTGAATGATTAATGAAATGTTCTTTATTTTTTGGGTTGAAAGGTTTTTCACCTACCTACCTATCAGCTATCAAACTAGCTGGTCAAAATATATTTGAGTGAAATTCAAAGTCTGGTCTTTTTCAAGTGTGGGAACCTCACAGACAGAGAACACTTGACAATGAGAACAATCAGTATTATATGCACAAACAGCCATAATGATAAAGCTGAATTAAAATGACTCACTGAATTCAGTAAAAAATAGCAAATATCACAATGATGAAGTATGTTTAAAGGAGTAAAAGTAAGACTTGTAAACTTAAGAACATTATTTAAAAGCATGGTGGTGGTAGCATCATGCTATGAGGCTGTTTTGCCAGTGATACTGGGACAAAGTGGATGGAACAATAGAGCGCCTCCTCCAAATTCTCAACAGCGAAACAACTGCAACTTGGACACAAGTGGGTGTTCGAATGGGACAATAATCCCAAACACTCACCGAGACTGGTTTTGGAATGGATAAAGCAGGCGAACATCAAACCTCTCAAACCAATTCTACCAAGAAGAATAGTCAAATGTCCAGCCACAATAATACCAGAAGCTTGCTGATGACTACCAAAGGTCAAGGTGCAACTTGACAAAGGATATTTAAGCAAATACAAGTGTATGTTTATATTTGAGCCTGTGTATTAGAGAAAAATCCAGAATAAATTCAAACATGGAAGCAGAACAGTTCAAAGGAATCATTAAAAGCTCCAACATTACCATAACATTCATGCCCATGACAAGTGCAGGTACATTTCTGATCGCACCTGAATGGACTAAATATATATATGTAGGCAAAATGTTACAAATGCTGTGAAAACATGTCCTTATAGCTAATTCCAACTGTTGCAGTCTGTGCAGAATTCACTGATGGGTGTGTTTGTGGAGCAAAACCGGACACATTCATTTTAGCCTTGAGTCCTGTGAGTCTGATACCCACTCACAGAGGAATAAACACATGCACAAAGTACAACCACACATAGAAACACACTGCACTGGTGGCTATAAATACCCTCTGGGATGAAGTCACACTAATAGATCGAGCACTCACACACACACAGCAACATGAGGTCACCACACTCTAGGCTTCCCAACACAAACATGCCATGCTGAATTCCCACACCGGACTAAAATAGACTGCGTCCGCGCCCTCCAACACCTCAGAGACACACACTGAAAATCCTGCCTGCAGTCTCACCTCCTCACTACAACCAACCAGGGCTCAGACTTGCAGCCTTGTCCTTTCCATTACCTCTCATTCCTTTCTCATCCCCAAAAACCGAACACAGGCATAATCTTTTATCTTGCCGTTCTTGCCTTTGATCTTTCATCATCGTCTATGAATAAGAATGTCTCCTCCTTTATATCTCTGTTGCTTGCTATAATTTTTTTTGCAATGAAATAATGACTTACTGGAGCTGGAGGTGAACGGGCAGGATGGGGCTATAGGAGAGGTTGGTAGTGAGGATGCAAGTGGGGAGGAGAGGGGTGAGGAGGGACAGTTGGGTGAGAGAGGCCTGGTGGAGGTAAAGAACAGCTGGACACTTTGGTGCTGGAGGACATGGCAGGGCAGGGCTGTTAGACACCTGAGTGGGACAACAGAAAGAAAGGGAAATGAGGAAGTAGATTAAAAACTAAAGGAATAGATGCTCTCCTGTCAGATTTAAACAAACGCATATATCTAACTGCAATAGGAAGGAACTTTAACATAAAATCTATATTTCTACAGACAGACCTAACATTTCTAATCTAAACGCATCTCTGGTCTGTTTATAAGAAAAAGCCACAAGGTGCCTTTAAAGCAGTTTTGCCAGGAAAGAGTGAGACGAAGAACAAGCAGAGGACAAAACTTTATAACTTGATGGGGAATCCAAGCGCAGGTGCAACAATAGACTGAGTTTTAAAAAAGCACTGAGCCAGACAATAAAAAGCCAGAATGCAAAACATTTGGATGTGTACAAGGATTTCAAGTTGATATGCTTAGACGTTCACTTATCGTCTATGAACAATATGCTAACATCCTGAAGTGCTGTCAGTATTTTATGTGAATTGGGAAAACTATAGTTTACATAGCAATGCTTCACACAAGACTTGTTTAGGCTAGCATAGTGATGGATTATACTGTAAGAGTACTTCTAATAAGATTAAGGTTAATTTAACACAAGTAGCTTTGCTAACCAAAGTAAGATACTGTGCAAAAGTCTTGAGCTACCCCTCATTTCTTTATATCTTGCTTCCAAGGAGCCAAGCTTTCTTGTAATTGTATTTTAAGCGGTCTTGGGTAATAGCTCTCCAGGCTTCTGAAGGTCTTTTAAAGAGCTGGATCACACTAAAGTGTGAAATTTCTCACTGTAACTTCTGAAGCTGATATGAATTATCACACTTTTTCTCACAGACTGTAAGCTGAGGCTACGTCTACACTAATCCTGATAAATTTGAAAACGGCGTTCTTGTCTAAAAACGCTCCGCGTCCACACTGTCGTTTTCGAACAGTTGTTCATCCACACTGACACGACTGAAAACGCTTACGTTCCTGTATTGTGCATGCGTGAAACGTAAGATGATTCGACCTGTGTCATTTCTGTCTGCCGTTTATTTACTTTT